TGCAGTATTTAAAGTGGGCTATAGAAAATAGGACAATAATGGAATTATTTAGAAAACTGCAGACACGATGGAAAACATCTGCACGAGCCAGTGAGCGTGAGGATCTGAGGGGTTTATGTATTTCTTTCTTAAACAGTCCAAACGTTACTCAGTCAGCAGGTCACGGCCTCTGGTGTTGAGAAGATCACACTGCGCCTTGCCTGCTGTGACGTGGATACATACTCTCATTGAACTCCTTGTTTACATGGGATATGATTTCATACAGTGTGCTGTTTGCATGCTGTACTGCACCCACAGTTTTAATTAGACTAGTGTGACATGTAAAAGTGATGAATAGGTCTCGCATTTGTCTTCTTCATGTTGCTGTCTTATCCGGCGTTTGAGCAGCTCTCTGAAGATGGATATTTACCATCTGCCGTGGTTGCTGTTGTTATGTTGCTCATAGTTCTGAACGAGTTTGCATTAAAAAGAAAAGTGTCCTGGGAGGAGCGTTTCAGCTTGAACGCGGATGACTTTGGAGAGGACACAAGTTTACATCTCTACGCATTTACATCACAGAGGCGGGAGTGTGCAGGAAGAACTCAGACACGTGTGGTTACACGGTTTATGAAATTTGGGCCAGTTTTGCTCTGATCAGAGTGTCCATGTGGAGCATGTGGAGCACTCCTCGTGTAGCTGAACCTTTTCTACCATGCAAACTCATTTTGGCATCGACGCGAAGAAGACTGAAGTGAAAAAAAAAACTAAACAATTTGTTTATTGTAAAATGTACTCTCTCACATGTGTGCAGGTTATCGCTGGCGAGTTCAGGTATATGGATTTTCCCTCAAACATCGCCTCGCTCTCCTCTCCCCTCTCTGTCTGAGATTTATATTTCCAGTGTGCATTCGCTCCTCCTACCTCACTGACTGCTGGACCACCAGCTTTCTTTCTTCCTTTTTTTATACACACAGACACACACTGGGCCAATGGCAATGTGACATTGACATAGTGCAGTTGAATACCTTATGTGAGGGTGAGTGATGGACCCTGATGGCTGTTGCCTCAAGGTATGTGTGTCTGAGTGTGTGCACTGTATGTGAGCAGCAGTGGAAATAGCATTATATTCCAACTCGACACAACAGGTCAAACACCAGGGGACGCAGAGAATAATAAGTAGGAGCAATGACATATACACACACTCGTACGCAACCCTTCAGGGAACAAACTCCTCGCTGCTCCATCACTTACATTCATGAAAGAGGCGCTCACACATGACTTGGTGAGGAGAGTAGAGCTTCCTGACACACACACACATACACCCACCCATGAACATAAGAACTGGGCAGGGATTCAGAGACACAGATTGAAGGTGATTATAATTCACAGTGAAGTCTGGCTGCTTTAGTTATCTCCAGCTCATCCATCTAATGTGTGTGTGTGTGTGTGTGTGTGTGTGTGTGTGTGTGTGTGTGTGTATGCATGTGTGGTTGAGCACTCATCAAGGTAGCAGGGGGAAAAATACCACCAGGAAACATATAAATCACAAAGATGGGGGAGTGAGACAGTGAGGAAGAAGAAATCACGACTAACCGAGAAGAACGAGGTGAAAGAAGAAACGGGAACAGAGAGGAGTGCGGGGAGTAAAGGAGACGATAAGGAGAGTGCAAAAATAATAAGCTCTTCACCAAAAGTGATATTAAGCAGCAGTAACTTACACTCACAAACAAATGTTACAACTATCACAGCTCATGGAAATACTAACCCATGTCTTAGATTACCTACCTGTTTGAAAGTGCGATAAATCTGAGGTAAGTGCTCACACCAAACCTGCACCACACAGGCTCTTCTTATAAAGAGGAGATTAATAGATGTGTAGTTACACACAGTGACTGTCAGGTGGAGCTTTTGTGTAGTTTATTATTTAAGTTTATTAATGTGCCGCCAATGAGCCACAACATCTAAACCACCTGCCTCTGAAACAGCTTAAACCCGGCGTGCCACAAATCTCTTGGGGTAACGGCGATGCTCAGTGCTCGCTCGGTGCTCGCTCGGTGTCTCGGGGTTTAGCCGATTCTCTGCAGCTTGTCCTGCTGATGAAATGGTCTCTTCTATGGGGGCGTGCCGTGGCTATAGAGGTGTTAAAGATCTGCAGCAAAGTTTAGCATCTTCTTTTCAGTCTATTTCCTGTTGCTTTTCATCTTCTTCCTAACACACGTGTACCACACACATTCACATGATGAATACAAGTGCGTGTAAAAGGGCTCCACTCGGTGGGGACCGACGGGGCATCTTTGCCGCACACTTTTACTGCTAATCGATGGAGATGA